TTTCAGAGTGAGGAAGAGGGTTCAGTATAGTCTAAGGCAGGCCCCTGGAGCCTTATCTTTCTTTGGTGCCAGGATGTTGGGTGGGGGTAGTCTCTGTATTTGCTCTAGGACTAATTGTTTGGCCAGAGACTCAACAGCCTCAGTAGTGTGGTATGGACTCTTTTTTTTTTTTTTTTTTTTTTTTAATATATCTTTTTAAATTCAAATACCATTCTGATTGCTCGTGGTCTAAGAACTTTCAAATAATAGACCAAAAAGAAGCAGATGTTAAAGATCTGTCTTCAAACATTAGAACCAATGATGCCACACTTGCCTATGATCTCGCAGCATAAAATCACATCCACACCTCAGTGGCCACCAACCCACTCAGCAGAGCTTCCTTAACTGTGAGCTGTTTGAAGCTACCATTTTGAGTACAGTGACTATTTTTTTCAGGCTCTCAGCAAGGATTAGGAATCAGCTCAACCTCGGCACAGTGCCAAACTGTGGCGAGTAACGCTTTGAGTCTGTCATAGCAGCATTTACTGATGCGGGGGCCTTGTCCACGAGGTTGTGGACAAATTGGGCCATGGTTCTGGGATGGAAATTCCGTGGTCCCGAATAGTCAGCTGCATGTCCCAGCGTGCACTTTTGTTTCTATGTGATATCCATCTCCCCTCTCAGAGAACAGGGCTGTAGGCTTCAGTAGAAGCAGCACTGAACTAGAATTTAGGAGACCCGTGGGAAACTAATTCCCTCTCATGCCTCAGAAAAAGAATACCTGCATGGCCTCTCCTGAGATTGTTACTAGAGTGCAAGAGATGATAGATGGAAGTGCTCTGAAAAGCAATTCAGCACAATGTCGAGTTGGTGATGTTATTTAAGGAACAAGTTGACTTAGCTCTGAGGCTGCATATGGGCTTGGACCTTTGATGTTTGGGGGTAACCTGATGGGGCGTGAGATTGATGGGAGGATTGGCTAATATTCTGAGCCAGCCAGAGACTAGCCCCTGGTGACTTGCTGCTCCAGACTGTGCTATGGCTGCAATCATCTGAGCATGCCTGGAGCAGGCCTTTTCAGGTGTGGGAGGGATTCTGATCCTCCTCCATGCGTTTGTGGCTTCCCCTAAACAGTGATCCCCTACCATATCCTGATTGTACCGAGCAAGAAGCTGGGGGGCTCCATGTTCACCGCCAACCCATGGATTTGCATCTCGGGAGAACTGGGTGAGACACAGATCCTGCAGATTCCCAGGAACGTGTTAGAGATGACCTTTGAGGTATGTGTTGTCCGGGAACCACAACTCTAAGCTCTGTGGAAATCTGAGTTTGCAACAGCTGCTTTTCTGGAGCTTTCTGCAGAGGTTTTTGGAGGCCTTGCTCTATACAGTGTTATGCATCAGCACAGCTGACCTGTCCTGAGATGATCTGAGCCAAGGGTTGACCCAAGGAGTGGGGAGCCTGCCCTGTCTAAATACAATAGTATCTGGCTGGAAGGCAGTTACCCATCTGCGCTTTCACACCTCTCTGTCCATAGTGTGCTGAGAAATCCCCAAGACTTCTTTCAGCTGCTGGGCCCAAATGTTCACAGAGACCTCATGGCCTCAGACTGCCATCCCACTTCCAGAGCTGCCTGCTCCTGGGCCCTGTTCTCTCTGTAGGTAGCAGCCATTGTCCCCTCTTGAGATGGTGTGTACTGCTGGCTTTGGTGACAGGTGGAACCAGGAGCTCTGTCCCTGCCAGGTTGCAGGCAGCCAGTCAGATGTCAGCCTCCAAGGAGTGTCACTGTTTTTTCCTACTTCCTTTTCCTACCTTATTTTCTCTATTTGGCTGTTTTCTCATAGTGCCAGAACCTGGGGAAGCTCACTACTGTGCAGATAGGCCATGACAACTCTGGGCTGTATGCCAAATGGCTGGTGGAGTATGTGATGGTTAGGAACGAGATCACAGGACATACCTACAAGTAAGTGTTCCCTCAGCTATGCGCTAAGATGCTGGGGCAAGGGTACCACCAGGGGCTGTGTTTGATGCTTGGGTGTGTGGAGTTCTCAAGGAGACTGTTCAGGGTAGGCTGTGATCGGCTGGGGCAACTTCCTGTTTGGCTCTGCCTCATGCACCTAAAAAAAAAAAAAAGTAGGAGGAGGGTTTACCAAGGGGAGATGTGTGACATTGCTGTGACAGGTTTCAGGCTGCCCATCACTCCCTGATTGTGCACAGGGGATGAATGAGCAGGCCCGTGAGGGATCCTCAGGGATGGCTTTGTTCATGGCTCTTTCTGAGCAGTAGGCAGCTCTGACAGGCCATTGCCTGACCTGTAGGTTCCCCTGTGGCCGGTGGCTGGGGAAGGGCATGGACGACGGAAGCCTGGAGCGGGTCCTAGTGGGAGAGCTGCTCACGTCGCAGCCCGAGGTGGACGAGAGGCCGTGTCGGACTCCTCCCCTGCAGCAGTCCCCCAGCGTCATCCGCAGGCTTGTTACCATCTCACCCAACAACAAGCCCAGTAAGTGGGGAGAGAGGGTGGGCCCTCATGCTGCCCAGCCTGGGAAATGTGGGCAGGCCTCTGGGAGCCCTGATATGTTAGCCCAAATCCCGCCTGTGAGCTCCTCAGGAACCACCTCTATCATCTAACATCTCCCTCGAGGCCTGGAAGGAGAGGGGAGAGCTTATGGAGGCTGGCCTGGGGCCTCCGAACTATTTTATCTGATCCTAGAGAGGTGAGGGGTCTACTGTCAGGCCTTCTCTTTCTTGGTTCCAGGGCTTCACAGCCAAGGCGTAGCCCTCCTTTGGTTGCCAAATGCTCCAGGGTAAAATGGAAAATAAACTTTACCAGCTTCTCTTAGAAACAGAACTCGAAGGTATTGACTCTGCTTTTCCTCCCAAGATTTTAGGAAGAGCTAGCTCAGCAAAGTTTGGTGGGTGAGAGCTACTTTTCCCACGGTCAGGCTGCCCTTCCTCTCCCAGGAGCCCTCACAGTGTCCTCAGTTTCCTGCTCAGGCAGCTGAGCACTGTGAGCCTCTGAGATTGGTGAGGGGTGTCTGCTTGGTTTTTATCAGAGCTGAACACTGGGCAGATCCAGGAGTCCATTGGGGAGGCGGTCAATGGCATTGTGAAGCACTTCCATAAGCCTGAGAAAGAGGTAAGCCTTCCTGCCCTCCAGCCCAGGGCCTTACATTGACTGAGAGAGAATAATATTGTTCTTGGCCCATGTGCTTGGACAGCATAGAATGTACAGTGTGCCTCAGTTTGAGACTGAGCAGATTTCTTCCTCTGGGGGCCTCTGCTTGGGTTACCCTGTTTTCCTTACACACTAATGGCCCATCAGAGTCCTGGGGCCTCGAGTGAACAGTGTATATTCCTATTTTCTTCAGGATTTGCCTGTCTCCTGAATAATGGCCACATTGGCTTTGTCCCTCTGGTGGGAACCCACGTTCATCATCTATTCATTTATTCATTCACTCAATAGCTATTCACTGAGAGCTGTTCTGAGCCAGGCACTGTGCCAGGTGCTGGGGGAACAGACAGGGTCCCTCCTGTCTTTTGCTGCCCTCCTGGCTGTGGGTTGTGAGTTTGGGGATGCAGGGTGGGAGGGCAGCTTGAGGCAAGCCTGTCTCTCTCCCGTTTCCTTACTAGAGAGGCAGTCTGACACTGTTGCTTTGTGGAGAGTGTGGTCTTGTCTCGGCTCTGGAACAAGCTTTCCAGCATGGATTTAAATCACCCCGTCTCTTCAAAAATGTCTTCATTTGGGATTTCCTGGGTGAGTTGGACTAGGATGTGTGTGCATGTAGAAACATGTTGACTCACCAACATAATGTGGGTGCTAACCACTGGGGTCTGAGGTACAGAAGCCAAATCAGGTAACTCTCAGATCTGTTGTTTGCCCTGCCTTTCACCAAAAGTAATGACAGAAGTTCCCCCATCTTCACCCCTCACCTCCTGAGAACTGGATGGAGAAGATTCTCTAAGCATCTGTTGTATATAGTACAGATGCTTAGTCATGAGTCCTCACACTCTTTCCTTGGAGATCTAGCAGCCAGCCCGAGACCAGTGTTGTGCCCACTTAGAGAGAATTTTTATACAAGGAGCTTCTCCTTCAAGAGTTTTTTTTTTTTAAATCTTCAGACTAGAGAAAGTAGCATCTTTATATCAGGGGCAACGCAAATTTTAAAAATAAGGATAAGGAATAAAGGAATCATTTTTGAAAGGTGATGAAAGACATCAGAACACTCATGTTATTCTCATTAAGTTACTTACATCAACATTGAGAGGCCCATGGCTGGTGGCCGGTAGGACAGTGAGACAGGTCGGCTTTAAGAGGCTTTGTCATTGGCAAGCTTTCCTCCTCTTCACAGAAAAAGCACAAACTTATTATGAGACTTTGGAGCAGAATGAAGTTGTTCCTGAGGAAAATTGGCATACAAGGGCCCGGAATTTCTGCCGATTTGTCACTGCAATCAACAATACTCCCCGGAACATTGGCAAGGATGGCAAGTTCCAGATGCTGGTGTGCTTGGGAGCCAGGTACTGCAGCCTCACAGCCCAGAGTCCATAGCAGCCAGCCGTGGAGGTGGTGCTGGCGTCCTGGTGTGGTGCAGGGGTGGGGAGGGGCTGATGACCAGGAGGTGCAGGGGTGGGGAGGGGCTGATGACCAGGTGGTGCAGGGGTGGGGAGGGGCTGATGACCAGGTGGTGCAGGTGGGGAGGGGCTGATGACCAGGCATTCTTGGATAGGTGAGGCCTGAGAGGACTTCCTAGAGTCTCGAATTTCCTTTATGTACATGCATGTGGGTGGGAGTGGGGTGAGAGTGTGTGTAGCAGAGGAGGAAAAGCCACATTTAAAAATATATATATTTATTGATTTCAGAGAGGAAAGGAGAGAGAGATAGAAATATTAATGTGTGAGAGAATCACTGATCAGTTGGCTGCCTCCTGCACACCCTCCCCCCCTTTCACTGGGGATCAAGCTCACAACCCAGGCATGTGCCCTGACAGGGATCGAACTGTGACCTCTTGGTTTATAAGTCAAAGCCCAACCAATGAGCCATACCAGCCAGGCCAAGAGCCACATGTTGGTGGAAGGAATAAAACCACCCCACTGGAGAAATTTTAAAAAGTGTATATAGTCATTCCTTCAATAAACATACGAATCTGTTTGTACATAGTCATTCCTTCAATAAACATAGGCCTCGTGATGGCAGGAATAGAGATGGTGTGAATAGAGCTGAATGAAACATGGCTCCTACCATGTAGAAGTTTACTTGTCCCAATTAAATACAGTACAAGGCAGAAGGTTGTGAGAGCCCAAAAAAGAGATATACGTTTATATTATACGGGATGCTGGAAACATAGAGGAGAAAGATCAGAGAAGGCTTCAGGGAGGAGGCGCTAAGGACCTAGGACAGAGGATCTTCCCTGTTAGGATAGAGTTGTTTAACCAGGGGACTGGAATGATACTAATCTGTATCATGGATGCTGTGCATAAGGTTGTGCAAGATCATTAGGGGCTAGTCCAGTAGGTCAGGTGAGAGCATGAAGCCCTAATAAACCTAAGGCAATAGTTTGTTCAGGCACAAAAGGGAGGGAGTTCATGTGGTGGTAAAAAACAGACTCTGGAACCAGATTCACATCCCACATCCCACATCAGCCACTTACTAACCGTGTGATTTTGGAGAAGCTACTTAACCTCTGTGCTCCTCAATTTCTTCTATAAAGTGGGGATTATAATAGCACTATTGGCATTATATCATACTAGAGGGTCAGTGCACAAAATTCATGCAAGAGTAGGCCTTCGCAGCCCCAGCTTCGTCCGGATGGTCGTTCTACTGTTGGGCCATTCGGTCAGTTTGCATGTTATGCTTTTATTATCATAGATCATGGGGTTGCAATGATGGTTAGATATCTTATAACAGTGCTTGGTACATGCTAAGCTCTATGTGGATGTTAGCTCTCGGTATTACTCCTGGTGGTGGTAGCTGTGGGGAGGAAGGATCGACTGGCTGTTGGTTAGAGACTTGGCTGTTGAGTTGGATGAAGCTGCTGACTGGACTTGGTGTCTGTTCGGTGGTGGGGTTATCTAGAGAGGAACAGGCCTGGTGGCACATGTCAGGGTTGATTTGGGTCAGGTTGGGTTGGTGTCCGGGGGCAGGGCAGCCCTCAGTAGGAGCCTTTTACTGCTGTGTAAGGCCTCTTTCCAAAGGAAAAAGGGGCTGTGGGGAACTAGTCACTTCTCCAGCTTCGGACTTTGTTCAAAGTTTCCCCGTGGCCTTGCACTAACCGTCTCCCTTTCTTTCCCTTCTGACCCACCTGGACTGATCCTGCCCTGCCAGAGATCACCTCCTACACCACTGGATTGCCCTGTTGGCCGACTGCCCCATCACCGCACACATGTATGAGGATGTGGCGCTGATCAAAGACCACACACTTGTCAATTCCTTGATCCGCGTGCTGCAGACATTGCAGGAGTTCAATATCACGCTAGAGACGTCCCTGGTCAAGGGCATCGACATCTGACCTCTCAGCACCAGCTAGCAACAGGACTGAGAGAGACTCCCCTGCAGCTCCGCCGTCTTCCCAAGGACTAAAGGAGCCGTGCAGGAGACGGAGAGGAGATGTACACTCACTGTAAAAAGAAAACTAGAGGATTTTTGGAATAAATAATCTATTTTAGAGTTTATTTGCTGATTTGCTTTTTACACACTTTCATGTGAAAGAGTGATAGGGAGAGGGAGACGAGGTTGGCGCCGCTTATTTTGAAGCGGGTGCCCTCCCTCGCTGCGGCCGCTGGGAGCGGCGGCCTCCCAGGCTGAGGCTGGCTCCGCGTGCAGGGCAGCTCGCCTCCGTGCCCTGCTGCGCCCGTGAGGCCATTCCACATCGTTTTTAACCAATGTTTTCTATATTAACATTACTGCGGATATTTGGCTTTCCTGGGCCACACACAGGTGTGCGGAGTGGAAGCCCGAAGCTCCAATCAAAGGATTTTTAGTAGTGCCTCTTCAAGCACTGACAAGTCAGTCCACATCTTTTCTTTTTTTTGTCAGTATTATTTGGGAAGAAGACATGCTAAGATGTATCATTATGCAGAAAATCACGTTTCCTCTTGGCACGCAGTTGCGCAGAAGTAAACAAGCATGTTTTAACAGGTTTTCCTTTCCCCCCATATTATTTATTTAACCCTCCGTTGTGTGTTTTAAGTCCTCCTTTTTTTTTTTTCCTCCTTTTTTTAAGGAAAGAAAAAGCTTGTCACAGTCTAACTGGCTATATTATTGTTAAATTTATGTTGTTTTGCAACTTAGAAACCAGCTACCGTTTGGCCTACTTAATAAAACACCTGAAACAAAACGGCATGGTTCCTGGTTTTTATGGGGGTTTGTGGGCAGTGGGCGGTGAGGGTGCAGTGTGTTCTGTCTGAGGACCAGGCTGCAGCATCGCTTCTCTCTCCGCTCCCCCCTCCCTGCAGGCTAGCTGGCTCAGGGCTGCGGGCTGCCCAGGATGCCCTGAGGGGTGGTGTTTCCTGGGTCCTTCCCGCTGCAGCACTTGGAGCTTTCACAGCTGTTAACTCACATGGTTATTTGAGAGGGATGCACACAGGGGAGGAGGAGGAGGCTAGACGGAGAAAGACCTGGCCACGGTTGCAAAGGTCATCACCTGACTGAGTCAGGATGGGCCATTTCTACCTAGGACAGAGGATCCTTCCCTGTTAGGATAGAGTTGTTTAACCAGGGGACTGGAATGATACTAATCTGTATCATGGATGCTGTGCATAAGGTTGCGCAAGATCGTTAGGGGCTAGTCCAGTAGGTCAGGTGAGAGCATGAAGCCCTAATAAACCTAAGGCAATAGTTTGTTCAGGCACAAAAGGGAGGGAGTTCATGTGGTGGTAAAAAACAGACCCAAAAGGGTAGGAAGACCAGGTGTGGGAACATAGTACGCTGAGATCCTGTCTACCCTCAGGAAAAAGCTCTTTCTTGAGACAGGGGCTTCCTTTTCCTGGGATGGTAGCTTTATGAGAGTCATGGGAACCAGCTCTTCAAGCTGCTTCGTGGAGGCATTAATCAGGTAGAACACCTCACACCAATATTCTCTTATGTTTCCCTGATCTCACTCAGCATGTACTGTTCCCCCTGCCCGGAATGCCTCCCCTTGCGCCCACTTCCTGTTCATTGTTTAAGGTTCCTTAATTCCTGCTGGGCACCATTAATCATCCCCTCATTATGCTCCTGTAGTTTCTTAGATTTCCTTCATTTTTCATTGCTGCTTTCATGTTGGGACCACTGTTTAGCCTGAGCACCTAGAAGGCAGAGAGCGCCTCTTGTTCATTTCATCCCTGGTGTCTGACAGGTGAGTGCCCCATAAAGCTTTCTGAAGAGATGACCAAGGGCGCTGGAGGCTCCTAGTTCAGCTGCAGTGCAGCATCCTGCAGGCAGGGGGCGTTAGTGGGCTGCACAACAGCTGTCTAACTGAAGGACAATGGGGTTCTTCAGGTTTTTTGGAAGTGGAGCTTCTGGAGCAGGAAGGGGGATTATATGCCCTTCGCTGGACTCAAACCTGCAACCTTTTAATTTGAGGGCTGACACACTAACCCCTGAGAAAACTGGCCAGGGCAAGTTTCTTTATTGTTTTATTACCCAGGTGTAGATCCTTACACATTATAGTTTTCCTCATTTTTTAAGGTCTTGATACAGCTTTTAAGTTTTGTTTAATCTAAAGAGTTTCTTCTATAAGCACAGCTTTTTTTTTTTTTTTTTTTTTTTTAACAGTTTATCTGTTGAAGATACTAGACCACTGATCTGTAGTTTTCCAGCCTGGATTTTGCTAATTTTATGCTAGGGTGCAGTTTACTGTGCTCCATCATCTCTGCATTTTCTGCAAATCAGCAGCTAGATCCAGAGAGGTGGTTGTGTGCTCATTTATCAGGAGGCACATCGTGTCTGATGTTTACTTTTCTGATATTCGTAGCCATGGTTGCTCAATGCCTACATCCTGTAAGTAATTCACTTGGGAGGGGGCAATGCAACATAGAGATGTTCTAACCTATCATTTTGTTTTAATTTATTAGGTGAAGTAATTTTATTAGGAAATGTTGCCCCTCATCTATTTGATCTTTCAGAGTTTGTATAGGAAAAGCAGGATAAGTATGTAATTTTATTTATTAAACTTTTAGGATAACGAACTGGATTGGGCTCCCTGATATTCTTAGAAGGTGGCATTTAAAAAAAAATATGATGATGAACTCGGGTTTAAATGTAGTTGATGGTTTCATTCCATTGCATTTATTATAATTGTTTCTATTTGGCTGTTGGGAGCCTCCTAAGTTGGCTCCTGAGATGATGAGTAGTTGCTACTGGGTGTATCAAGATGCTATAGGCTCCTCTTGTACATATTCCGTCCTAAACTTGGAATCAGTTATTTTGCTAAGAAACCAGGGGTTTCACGTGTGTTTTACCCATCCCTGATGTATTAAGGCAGCCCTGCCACCTTCTGCTATTCAGGTTTAATGATCTTTGCCAAGATGATGACTCTTTTTTTGGTCTGCTGGTCCTTAGACACAAGTAGTCCAAATTGTCCTGGTAGCAGGGTCCTGGGACAGACAGAACTTACTTCTGTGTTTCCCTGCAAGAAAGTGCCCTTTTGGGGGACCAGCACTTCCAACCCTGCAGAACCTGGAGTTGAAGGACCAGGAAGCAGTCTCCCTCAATGGGTCTTTGGAAGTGACTGAACCTGTGGCCATTCCTGCTTCTTGGTTTTGGAACCTATGTTTCAGCGCCACATACAGGTCTCTGATTTCCTGCATTATATCCCGAAGGATGGCACTCCACCATCCTTGCAGATTATTGAAGCCAGTGCTTCCATTGTGCCTTCAGTAGGCCATTCCAGTGCTCTTTGAGGTTGGCAGTTTCCAAATGGTGTAGTATATAGATAACCAGTAGATCCTAATATCATGGGCCCACTCCTATCTTCCTTTCCTGTGAAATGGACATTCTGGTTGGGAGCCATGCTGAATGGAATTCCATACCTGATGATCAGGTCTGAACTTCTGGGTATTGGTGCTGTCTCAGAAAAGACTCACCCATTCCCAGCATAGAGCCCTGTCCCTGTGAAGGTGAACTGCTGGCTCTCTCAGGATGGAAAGGACCTGCTATAATTGATTTGCCATCAAGTGGCTGGTCGGTCTCCTCATATCTGGGACTCAGCATTGGTCTCTTTTTGCTGGCAGACTGGACATTCCGAGGCAGCAGTAGCCAGAATAGCCTCCATCTCTGCCACTGTGACCAACTCCTTGATGTGCCTGGTAAGCCAGTTCCAGGATGGCCAATGTCAGAGTGGCTGAGTCATTTAACCTACTTGTTTGTTCAGTTTTCTTCTATGGTAGATGCTTTGTGGTAGGTAGATGCTTTGTGGTAGTAATGTGTGATACAAAAGCCTTTTCTACTTGATGCCTACTCCTAAAATGACCATCCATATGCCTCTACCCAGACCTTCTTGACCTTGGACTTCCAGACTTTTCCTTTCCAGTCCTCTGACCAGACAGCTAGACCACTGGCCACTGCCCGGGAATGTGTATGTATTCCCCTGCATAAAGCTCTCCTTCCATAACCAGGTGCACCACCTGCCACTCTGCTCACTTGGGAAGGTTTTTCTCTTGTTTTCCTTGGCTTCCTACTGTCTTTGAAGGCAGCTCCTGAACATAACTGTCAGGCAGCCACTGTCCATTTTCAGCTTCCACCATACACCCAGCTAACCCAATAGCAAACCAAGCTCAGTTACCATTTCCATCTTACAATGAAATACTGCTGGCTGCACCTGGCTTTATGACTTGGCAGGTCTGACAGAGTCCAGTTTATAATGGGAAGTTCTTGATGTACTGTCATTCGATTCTCATAGTCTAGCATTTCATTTATTTATTTATTTTTTAAAATTGATTTTAAAGAGGGGAAGGGGAGAGAGAGAGAGAAACATCAATGAGAGAGAAACATTGATTGGTTGCCTCCCGCATGCACCCCAACTGGGGATCGAACCCACAACTGGGTATGTGTCCTGATCAGGAATTGGACCCACCACTTTCGGTATATGGGATGACACTTCAACCAGTTGAGCCACAGGGCTAGCGTTTTGTTTAAAACAGGACCCAGCCACGTGCTAGGGACTATTTCTCAAAAGGTGCAGATGGCATGGCTTTGCTCCAGAAGTCTAAGGGGCCTGCTGTGTGATTCTTTCACTGGGGTTTGCAGTGAGCTCTACGTTGCTGCTTTACTCATCACTGACACTTCCAACACTAGGGAGTCCACTGGATCATATGACCCAAATGATAAAATATTTGCTTAGCAGCTTGAATCTCTTGTAGAACCTTCTTCTGCTCCAGGGTAGCAAATCATTGAATCTTCTTAGGGTTTATAGCCATCTTCTGGAGCACATATGTCTTACCAAGGTTTTCAATAAATTAGCCACCCCTTGCTTTTCCCATTCAGTCACCATGATGTAATGGGTCTGTAAAGCTCTATGGGATGTCCAGATGGTCCAGATCTTGAAAAAAAGTTAACGTAGCTTTGAGGAAAACGGTAAATGAATATTATTGTATGTTCCACATGAGTGTGACTGTTTCTGATTCTCCTGTTCCATTGGAATGGAAAAGAACGCATTTACCAGCTCAGTGGCCACATACCGTGTGTCTGAGGTCTGAGTGGTATGCTCAAGCAATGACAGCACATTCAGCACAACAGTTAGGGCTACTCCTTGGCGAAGCGGTGGTAGCCTATGCTATTCTCCAGGACTCATCTGGCTTTCCAGGGGCCAGACTGGAGAATTAAACAGATATAAGGTCTAGTAATAATTAATGTCGTTTTCTAATACCTTTTTAAATCGAATTTATTTAAACAATACAACAAAATTTAATCAACAATATAGTTGCCGTTGTTTTCTACTACTTGTGCCCAACGCGTGCCCAACGCTCAGGAAGCATTTTAATCCCTCTGTTGTAAAATTCTTGTGATTTTGATGCAAAAAATTCGGTCAATGCATTTTTGAGGCATTCTTCATTATTAAATTTTTTTCCAAGAAGAAAGTTTTGCAAAGAACGAAACAAATGGTAATCGGAAGGGACAATATCAGGAGAATATGCAGGTTAAGGAAGAACTTCCCATTCCAACTGGCGCAGTTTTTCAGCAGTGATTCTTGCAGTATGCGGTCGTGCGTTATCGTGGTGAAGAATTACGCCCTTCCGATTAATCAGCGCGGGTTCTTTTTCTCTTAAAGCTTGGGCTAACCTTTCCAATTGGGCACTATACACTGCACTTGTAATGGTTTGGTTAGATGGTAAAAGTTCATAATGAAGAATTCCTTTAAAATTCCACCAAACACACAACATCACTTTTTTCGCATGCAAGTCAGGTTTTGGCGTGGGCTGCGGAGCCTCATTTTTGTCCAACCATTGAGGCCGCCTTTTCAAATTAACATACAGCACCCATTCTTCATCTCCGGTGACAATTTGCTCTAAAAACGGCAAACGGTTTTGACGAGAGAGGAGTGAACTGCAAATTGTGACTCTTTGATTACGGTTGTTGTCGGTCAACTCATGAGGAACCCATTTCCCAAACTTTTGGACTTTGCCAAGTGCACGTAATTGATTGGAAATTGTTTTTTGTGAACAATTTAAAGTTGTCGCAAGCTTTTGTTGGGTAATTTGAGGATTTTGCACCAAAAGAGCTTGAAGACCTTCTTGATCAAAATTGGACACACGGCCTCGACCACTCTTGTCATCTAACGAAAAATTTCCCTCGCGAAATTTCTCAAACCAACGCTGGCATTTTCTGGCGCTAACTGCATCTTGACCAAGAGCACTACAGATGTTTTTTGCAGCCTCACTTGCTTTTCTTCCTAATTGGA